CAAAGGCACGCCGCAGGGCTCAGTGATATCACCAGTGCTTTTCAACTTGGCCCTCCTTAAGCTCCCACGTCTCTTGGACGCTGTCCCTGGGATACATCACGCGTTATACGCCGATGATATCACTATGTGGACAAGAGGTTCAAGCACGGGTGAACAGGAGGACCGACTTCAAGAGGCGGTTAGCATCACTGAAGGATGATTGATATGTAGGGTTTAACGTCCCAAAACCACTATATGATTATGAGAGACGCAGTGAAGGATATCTCAAGACCTGCGGCCTCCAATGTGCTCCGGAAAAGTCGGAACTGTTAGTACTTGCGGCACGCACCCGGGGTAGACCACCAAGCTACGACACTCCTGACCCACAAGTCTTTCTACAGGGAGTCCAAATACCACAAGTTGACACGCTTCGAGTCCTTGGACTACACATACATAAAGATGGGTCTGGCTCCGCTGCCCTACCCCGGCTGCAGAACACTGTGACACAGCTCACCCACCTAATCCGAAGGGTGGCTAATCGCCGCAGTGGCTTCAAAGAGCACGACACCCTAAAAATGGTACAAGCTCTCCTTTACAGCCGCATAACGTACGGAACTCCCTACCTCAACCTGAAGACAGCGGAGAAACAAAAACTTAATCTGCTGATACGAAAGGCTACAAAGCTTGCCCCAGGACTGCCGCCAGCCGCCTCCACTGACCGACTGCTTCGCATGGGAGTTCATAATACGTGGGAAGAACTCACCGAAGCACACCTCATCAACCAGGTCAAGAGACTCAAGCTGTCACTCACTGGGCAAGCCGTCCTTCGACGCACAGAATACCAGACCACTCTAGAACCCAACGAAGAACGGAAAGGCAAAATACCGTCACAGCTGCGAGAAAGCCTTGAAATTCAGCAGATCCCTCGGAACATGCATCCTCAACATCACCGAGAAAGGCGGCTCGCCAGGGTTAACATGATCCGGAAAAAACATGGCAATGACCCGCAGGCGCGATACGTGGACGCAGCCAAATATCCGAGACGTAATGCCTTCGCGATTACCGTCGCAGATTAGAAGGGCGCGGTACTGGCATCGGCGACTATCCTCGCCAAACGTGCGGAAACAGCTGAAGAGGCTTCTATAGCACTCGCCACCCAGATGAGTGAGGATCCCATCGTGGTCTTTACCGACTCACAAACAGCGGCACGGAACTACCTGAAAGGCAGGGTCTCCACGGTGGCGATTAGGCTACTAAAGCACATGGACAATCCTCCTCCCTACACATGCATCGTGTGGATTCCGGGTCATGAAGGTCTCGAGGGAAATGAAGCGGCACACACCGCAGCCCGCGAATGCGTCAACTGGGCATTCCCATACAAGATCCGAGGCACCTCCCACTCAACAACAGAATCAGAGACAAGAGAAGCCATACCACTAACGTACCATGCATTACTGCAACATTATCGGCTCGAACGCAGGTTATACCCCCCGCCACATCCAAAACTCGCAAGAGACGAAGGGACTGACTATAGGCATCTTCAAAGCAACACGTTCACACAAGGCGTACTATTGCACCATATGAGGCCAACGTTGCACAGCTACATCTGCCCTCACTGCAATGTGGCAGACACTCTGGCGCACCTCCTACTGCAGTGCAAAGTAAGCGTCCCAAGACTACGAGCAGCAGCACCAGATGCGGACCAAGACCTCCTCAGTGAAGCGTGGGAGGCTGCGATCTCCCAGCCAGACCTGGTCGAGCAGCGTCAACTCGTCGCTCAAGCTCGGCGGGCTGTCCAAGCTAGAGGGTTCCTGGAATAAGGGACCCTCCCACCTTCACTCACAAGCTTCTTTCAATAAATGTTTCTCTCTCTCTCTCTCTCTCTTTAAGGTGTGTGTTAATACATCGACAAGTCTGGCTGTTGTACTTAGAAACACATGAAAGAGGTATTTGATGAACTCCTACTCAACAATTGACAACTTTCTTTGCCAACAGGGGACGTTGGGGGCTGTTCGTGCACCTACGGAATCAATGCGACTAAAGTTACTTGGGGCTGAAGACAACCTCAGCCCATATCACTTTGCTACATTTTTCAGGCCATGCAACTTATGCAATTTTTTTCTTTTTCTAATATTGCATGTGAGCCTTACATAACAATTCCTCAATTAACAATATTTGAATGTGCCAACACAAAATTGAACACTGGTTTTGTATAAGGCAAACTAAATCGCCAGCAAACACGCTCCAAAGTGAAACGTAGCATCCAGCAAGAAACTCCAAATTATCAGAGCAAGGCACCTCGCAAGTGAATTCTGGTTCCAATCCTTTTTTATCCACATTTAGAATGTACTCACTTTTTCTACAGCGCTCGACTTGTCAATTTATATGAAATCGTATTTACTCGAGTAATGAACCCACTCGCATAATGACCCCCTTCCATCTCGGTCCTTGAAAAAAGACAAAAATTTTAATGTATCTGTTCATTTTATTTTGGTGTGATAGGCTGTGCCATTACAATGATATCAACAATAAATCAAATCGTTATATCACAAAATAATGATGCAATAACAAGTCAAAACATAGTTAGGCAACCATGCTAAACAGTTGCGAGCTGAGTGAGTGCGGACGACGTCAATCAAAATTTAAGTCACACTTTTCGCGGTAGAGCGCCATCTGTGGAATGTAGGAGTAATCTTTTGTCTTATACAGTCGAACCCCGCTACAACGAAACTGACGGGGCGTGGGAAACATTTCGTTGTAGTGAAATCGAAAAAATATAGCTGATCTGAGCTAGCAAAACAAGGAATGTTTATTCTCAAAATTAAAAAAATGTCCGCTGATTCTTATTCTTTCCCAGCAGCGTCACGGCGCGAATCTCAAACATTCACAGCGAGACCATGGTGAAAAGAATGCTGAAAAAATGCCTAAAACCGTCTTGGTGAACGAACCAAACAGTTGCATTAGCACATTAACACCAGCAGCTGTCCACCGTCAAAAGTATCCGACAACTACGAGATGGAGGCAGGGTATCGTGGAGCGGCGACTTTTTTTATTATTCTATGCCATTCTTATCATACATCACTCGCGGCTAGCTACTTTTGTTGATAATGCGGATGAACAGGCGCTCTAATTAGTTACAACACTGGCCAAGCGTGAACATAATGATAAGCATCGGATTCGGAAAAGGCATTATTCCGCAGTTGCACCCAGCAGGTGCATGAAGGAAACCATAAACTGAGCGACTGAGCTTCAGCTTCGGACCGTCTGCGGCTCAAAACCACCAGTGGCAAAACCAGGGCAGTCTCATTGCCATCGCTATCGAGCAATGGCGGCGCCCATGCTTGCTGAACAGCAGTGGTATAGCGGCGGTTTCTGGTGGTTCCAACGCGTGTTTGTGAAAATGCATCGAAATGTTAAAGATTGGGTGTACTGCATAGAAATAAGTATCAGAGCCTGGAACTGCATTGTAAAATTTTGTTGTAGCGTGATGATCGAAGAAAAAGTGTTCATTGTGGCGACAATATTTATGCATTGCCTCCTATGGACTGCTGACGGGGAATCGTGAATTTTTCGTTGAAGCGGAAATTTTGTTGAAGTGGTGTTCGTTGTAGCGGAGTTCGACTGTAGCGCCACGCAAGCACAGCAGCCCGAAAACAAAGCAAGAAACGAAGGGCATGGCCTATGAGATCTCGGAGGCCATGCAAAACGTAACTGCGCCCACCGCGCTGGCGCCACATTTTACACCCGCAGCGTTTGCGCGCCCCTATCCGATGCTGCGCTGTTGTTGTCGGGTTTGTTTGTTGTAGTGAATTTAGTTGGACACCTGCTGCGCAGGGCACGTTTAGCCAATATGCTAGTTACACGGCTGCATGCGGCATGGGAACCGAGCGGCTGGACGACAGTTCAGTGTTGATCTGATCTATGCGCGTTCGTTATGGGAAAAAAAAGGAAGAGCTTTGTGCTACAAAAAAGATTTGTGGTGCATTTCGCGGGCCAGAAGAATTATGCGAAATTTTTGTTTTTATATTTCCCGCCACTTTTTTCGCCCTTGTAATGAACCCTCCCCCCAAATTGGCGTCAACTTTTTTGAAAAAAAAAAAGTGGGTTTAATATGCGAGTAAATACGGTGTATAAGTATATGTGAATACTGTAACACCTTTCTGCAGTTTGGTGTTAACATCTCAATTACAAGCCTCTAAGCATTAAATGTGACAGCGGCTTGTGAACATGCAATCATTGAATAAATATGTGTGGGGTGTTCCAGCTCACATTTCTCATGATAGTACTATTCAACTACATCTATCCGCACGTGAAAACTCGCATGCCGCTTAACTGCTGCATCACGATATACCTCCACTCGGTAACACCTACACTGACTGGCTGCATTATTTTTGACACGTTTCATTCATAGAGATGCATGCAGCTGCGATCGATCATGCTTAGTAGGCATAGTCAACTAGTGGCGACATGTTGTTTTCGTTTGGTGCTCCTACAGAGCCAACGAACAGCTGGATCGCTCAATGTACACACTTTTCTCGAAGTGCTCCGCACACCCGTGGGGCATTCTGGGATTGCCTGAAAAAGGTCTATCAAAGTTCCTACATGACTAGCCTTCTCAAAATGATGATGAGGTGCATCTGTTTATTTGGCTATAAGCAGACTAATAAAAGAGATCAGTAGATGAATACAATCCGGGCAGAAGACTCAACCAACAGCAATATTTCTGGGAGGTACCCTGTAAAGCGTTTTATGGCTTCATAAAAAGGTGGCTCAGGACCCCTTGAAAAAAAGTCAGTTGTTCCGTGTCATGTACCATGTCCGCAGTTACTTTATTTTTATACTTTACAAAAACAAATCACACATTATGAAAGGGGCTCTGTAACGTTGATTACTGATTTTTATTGTAATACGTCTTTTTGAAAATTGTCAGCATTTTTTAGTGCCACAGTTGTGTGAGCAAGAATTTATGTTGAGTAGTGTGTTTCATGGCACTGCTTTACTTTCCTACATATGCATTGCAGGTCTGCCAAGTTATTGCAGATGGAGGAAAAAGAATATTCGATAAACAATCGAAAGTTCCATACGTGGTCAACAAGAAACACTGGATAAGCTATGATGACATCAACAGTGTTGAACTGAAGGTACTGTATGTGTAGAAGTGTGGTTCTAACGACTCAGCCCAGTTCTGATTGGCTGTTTGGCATATGATATCAAGCTTTAAATGTCATTTGACCTGGATAGATCTAATGGAATTAGTATTGTGTTTACTTTATTAGGCCAGTAGATAAAGCATCTGTTATGCATATTGTTTGTTGAAGTACATAGCCAAATGTGGTAGCATGCTATGTGTCTTCAGGAGGGCCACAATATTCGGAAGGAACATTGTGGTAGCATGCTATATGTTTTGAGGGGGGGCTACAGTTTCTGCAAGCAACATTTCTGCAATGCTGCCACCCCTTCGATATGTTCTTGTTTGTTGCAATTTCATGGCTCTTATGCTGTGTCCTGTTTATTTATTATATGATCATGCATTTTAACCTCTCATATTTGTATTTACTCATCCAAAAACGGGCATTGTGCTACCACAATGATCATAATCTACATGAGGTAGACATATGAGATTATCTGGCGATCCCAATTACATTACCTATTGCATTCCGCTGAAAATAGTGATTTTGTAGCATATTTCAATGGGTGCATTAAAAATGGCATTGTCGTCGTAATCTCATCATGAGTTGCTGATTTCAGTGTTGCTCACAATATTGTAAGAGAAGTTGAGGTGAGTGAAAACTTAAAGTGGTTGTCCCCACACAACCGCCTACTGAAGGTATTACGTTAATTCAGTGATTGCTTTCGACATATATATTTACTTAAACTGAAAAAAGGCTGTAAAATTCACAGAAAAATGCCTGTTCTTTCTAAGATTTAATTTATGTAGTAGATGGAAATACAAGCTTTGTTTAGTGTGATTCATGACCGTGACCACCCGAGAAACATGTTCTAACTTTTAATTCAGGCAGATATAAGTTTTATTTCGTGGATTTTCTCTAGTTCTTTTATTTTCTATTTAACTTCATATTACGTTCTGTGTGGGAGTACTTCTAGGCTATCTGAATATGAGCTGAGACATTTAAAGCTAAGTGCATTTGACAGTACTTGGCACTAGATAACTCCTGCAGTAAGAGACTGCTTGAATTGGCCAGTTTTCTGTACTTGTTAGCTTTTATTTATTTGTCCTTATTATTTTTAAGATTTTGTACTAGTACCATAGACATGAGCTTGTAAAGAGGCCTATGCCATAATTAAGCATAAGTCCTGCCAAATTCTGAAGGTATCTCGTGGTGTGTAACATTATCCCGGATGATGACTCGAAGAGCCAGGTGTAAATTGTATAAAGAACCAACTGCTGGTGCTATCCAAGAGTGCAGTTAGCGTGCTTTGAGAGGTAGTCATATGTGGTGTAATGCTGCACAGCCTGTTACAGCTGACATTCCCTCTACTCATTTGGCTTACCCTTACATAAGAGCCTGTTACTTGCAATACATCCTGTAATGTGCCAGTTTAGGGAGGATACTGGTAGCTGTTGGGCTGGTGTGGTGTTGCAACTGACAGCTGGTACTGCAGAAGAAAAATACGTGCTGGACGAGTGGAAAACCAACTAGATGTTGACCTTTGGTTGATGTGCTTTCATCCAGCACCAATGTTTGGTGTAAATTTGCTTTATATTTGCTACTGCTTTCAGAGTTGTGTATGTGACAGCATTTATGTTTTTACAGGCCAGGTGGATCCTTTCAGAAGGCTATGGAGGAATAATGACATTTAGTCTCAATTGTGATGACTGCACTGGAGCAACTTCTCCGGATGGTGTTCGGTTTCCTCTGCACAAGAAGATCAAGGAGGTTGTAGAGCAAGAGTCATCGCACTGATGGTTAACCACGTGTTTTACACCAGGTGCATCTGAAGTGCTGTTGGCTAAAAACTATACACAAGCATATATATACTGCTAGTTTTTCTTGCTGAATTGCATTTAAAGGTATTTGTGGTGCTGCTGCATCTAGATTTTTTTTTTACTACTGCAGGCCTGTGTCAACAACGATAAAAAAGTGTGAAGCTGCATGTGGTTGCAGCCTTGTTTTTTTCGATGTGCGGGCTCTCACTCAGTTTATTGGCCTGAGCTGATGCACCACAATTTTAATCAAAAGCACTGTTTATTCATGACACACCAAGGCATAAACTAGCTCAAAATTTTTTGCACTTTCATGTTAGATGCTGGAGTTAGTACAAGGCTTTAAAACATTTTCATTTTAATTTGTTATTTCTGCAGTAGTTGGCAGCACAGATAGGCTTTTCCCTGTGTTTATTCTTGCAGTGGCAGCTGGGACAACTTGAAGTGAAGACAGAACCAAAAAGTGTCATACTTTGGCACTACCTGATGTTACATGGGGCCAAGGTGATATGGTGGTGTCATACATGCTCCATTTGTCTGCTGTAGTGTTGGGTTGTCCAAAATGTATCCTGCTATAAGCCCACCCATGCTACATCTCACATGACTCCTTCACATTTACGCTGTAAATAATTATGGACTGAATTTTTGACAAAGCTTAAAAAAAAAATTCATTTAAGAAGCCTTTTCACCAAGGCCACTTGCCAACAATGGGCCATTTTTTGGGTCATCGCTGTAGTTTAATGCCATGGCAGTTTTTTGGAAAATATATAACTATTTTTGGGAAACGTAATTGGTAGTGCAGGCTACTCCAACAACTGCAGTGTAGTTTGACAAAAAAGAACTTGACACCCACAATGGCCACAACATAGCTCTTAAGAAACTACAGGTTGAAACTCGTTTTGATATGCTGTCCTTTGGAACAGGAAGCATCCAACCATACCTCAGTTTCTTTTTATTGTTAAAGATGGTGCTTTTTTTTAAAAAATACCTGTGAAGTGCCTGTAATTTCTAAAACATTACTTTTTCTATGGTCTGCATTTCAGATTATGCAGAAAGCTTAATGTAATATCTAATAATAGCCACCAATAAGCCAGCTCTGCGTTTGGTAGTAAACTGCTAAAGAGCTGAAATATAATTTAATAAACAACTTTATCGTTATGGAGAACCAGGTGGCATGCTATAGTTGAAGGAACATTTTCAATGTAATGTTAGCACACCAACCACTCTAACACTGAATAATTTAACAAACAAATCCTCACAAGCAAGTCTGTTTGTAAAGAAAGAAAAAAAAACAAGAATTGTTGCTTCAGTCTTAATCACACCGAAAGAAAGAAAAAACAAGGATTGTCGCTTCAGCCTTATTCACACCTAGCATTTCCTGCTTATGAGGCACAAACTTGACTGTGCAAGCATGACTGCAGTTGCCTAATCTATGCTTGTGCCTGAGGTTTTGGAAACATTCAAATAATGTTGACCAGCCTATTTTTGCTAAGGAATATGCTCTTTATTAGGGGTAGTCAAGTTTCACCATGCTACCCTCCCCCCTTCTCTCATTGATAAAGTTAAAAAAAAAAGCTTCGAAAAGAAAAAATGAAAATGAAGCGTTGACGTGCTTCTCATGCCGGCTTGCCCTTGGTCCCCAGCTTTCCAGGGCTAAAAGGGTAGAACTGGACAATTCTTAGAATGTAACATCATTGGTCCTTAGCCATTTTAATCATCAGACACGTGCATGGCCATAACCCTGAACTATAAGCAATGCCAGCACAGGTCAGACTGAGTAAAGGCAGACTTGGTACCCTCCTTTGATGAGTAGGTGGCTGGCTGCCCCCGTGCGAAGAGACTGATGTACAGTAAAAGTCGGGTTATCCTGTGCAGATCTGTGTTTTATTTTTAATTTTTAGGAATTTTGAAGACGTGTTGGATTAGGTGCTTACATTCTTAATTTCCAGATGAATGAAATGTGCTTCCTGTAGCTGTTGCTACATTATGGAATAAGTTTCTTGTTGTTGGATCTGCACTATGATGTCTTTCATTTCATACTGTAGTATTCATGTATGGAATGAATTCTTAATGTGCTTTGCACCTCTTCTGAGCATTTAGAGCTCATTTGTTTATGTGCTTGCATGAGGTGCATCATACGTGGAAGATCTTACACATGGCCCATAATGTTGTCATATATAACAGTAGCTTTTGCTATTGCCTTACACTTGTGTGTTTGGTGAACTGCTCACTCATCGCCTTGATGCTGGAAATTTTATAACCTATCTCCTACATTCGTTAGCGAGCATTCTCACTGACAATAAGTATAGCATTGTTATTGTAGTCTCATATACTCCTTTATGTCCAATGACATGGAAGCTTCAACATAGATTTCTGTTCTTTATGAAGACATCAAACAAAGCTACAAAGGCCAGCTGCAAAAAGGCCTGTTTTGTAAGCCTTCATGCATCATTATCATTATCAGCCTGACTATGCCCACTGGAAGGCTAAGGCCTCTCCCATGGTTCGCCAATCAACCCCGTCTTGTGCTTTCCGTTGCCACGTTATACCGGTGAACTTTTTAATCTCATCGGCCCACCTAACTTTCTGTCTCCCCTTCATGCATTTGTCTTCTCTGGGAGTCCAGTCAGTTACCCTTAATGACCAGCGGTTATCCTGCCTACATGCGACGTGCCTGGCCCAGGTCCATTTCTTCTTGATTTGAACTATGATATCCTTAAGCCCGGTTTGTTCCCTGACCCACTCTGCTCTTTTCTTGTCTCGTAAGGTTACACCTATCATTTTCCTTTCCATCGCTTGCTGCGTCATCCTCAGTTTAAGTTGAACCCTCTGAAGCCTCCAGGTTTCTGCTCCGTAGGTAAGTACTTGCAAGATGCAGCTGTTATATACCTTCTTATTGAGGGTTAGTGGCATGTTACCATTCATGATTTGAAAATGCTTGCAAATGTGATCCAGCCCATCCTTATTCTTCCAGTTATTTCACTCTCATGGTTCGGCTTTGCGTTTACTACCTGTCCTATGTAGACATACTTCTTTACAACTTCCAGCATTTCTCCACCTATCGCAAAGTGTTGTTTTCTGCCGATACTGTTGCACATTACTTTAGTTTTGTGCATATTAATTTTCAGACCTACTTTCCTGCTCTCCGTGTCCAGTTTAGTAATTATGAGCTGTAATTTTTCTCCTGAGTTACTCATCAAAGCCCTGAGTTACTCATCAAGTCATCAGCGAATTGCAGGTTACTAAGATACTCTCCATCAACTCTTATCTTTAACTCTTCCCAATCTAGTGTCCTGAAAACCTCCTGTAAACATGCGGTGAATAGCATTGGAGAGATCGTTTCTCCCTGCCTTACACTCTTCTTTATTGGGATTCTATCGCTTTCTTTATGGAGAACTATAGTGGCAGTAGATCCACTGTAGATTTCTTCTAGTATGTTTATGTAGAGTTCTTCGATGCCCTGATTCTGTAGTGCCTGCATTACTGCTGACGTCTTGACTGGTTCGACTGCATTTTCGTAATCTATGAGGGCTATGTATTGGGGTTGGTTGTATTATGCACATTTCTCTATTACCTGATGATTGATAGTATGAATATGGTCTATTGTAAAAAACCCTGTACGAAATCCTGCTTGGTCCTTTGGTAAATTGAACTCTAATGTCACCTTAATTCTACAAACTATTACTTTTGTAAATAGTTTGTAGGGAATGGACAGCAGGCTTACCGGCCTGTAATTTTTCAAGTCCTTGACGTCTCGTTTCTTATAGATAAATATGATGTTAGCATTCGTCTAGATGATTTGTGGGGTTCAATGTCCTAAAATCACGATATGATTTTGAGAGACGCTGTAGTGGAGGGCTCCAGAAATTTCGACCACCTGTGGTTCTTTAACGTGCACCCAAATTTGAGCACACGGGCCTACAACATTTCCATCTCCATCGGAAATGCAGCCGCCGCAGCCGGGATTCGATCCTGCGACCTGCGGGTCAGTAGCCGAGTACCTTAGTCACTAGACCACTGCGGTGGGGCATTGGCATTGTTCTAAGATTCTGGTATCCTTCCCATCAAGAGACACTTCGTATATAACGTGGCCAGTTTTTCAACACAATTTCTCTGCCATCTTTCAGTAGGTCTGTTGTTACCTTATCCTCACCAACGGCTTTGCCTCTTTGCATTCCTTCTAGGACTTTCCTTACTTCCCCTGTCGTTACTGGTAGGATATCAAATTCCTCCGGACTATTATTGTTTCTCACGATATCATCCCGGTTGTTTTGGCTTCTGTACAGCTCTCTGTAGAACTCCTCCTCCACCTTGACTATCCTACCCATATTGGTTATGACTAGAGGCCAGATTTATAGGCACCAAAAAACTGTGTTTTAAGTGCCAAAGATAGGTGGGCAAAACATTGTTTTAGGCCCCCAAAATTGTAAATATAGGCACAATAAGCTTTGAGAAAATTCAGATTTTCGAAGAAATACGTGTGGGATCTGTGTCTATGACAGGAAAACAAACAAATTTTAGATTATGATGATACAAAGGTACCAATGGTTTAGCGTAGCTATGCATTTTTTGTCCTGCAGGGTTTGCAGAATATGGTCTCTCCTTTTCTAGTCCAGCATTGGGGATTTGAGTGTCCACCGCCGAATAAACATGCTCCTGGGTCCCTTTCTGTCCCTTTCTTTTTGGCTTGGCTGAAAAGGGTAACACGGGAGCCAATAGCCAGAGCGCTAATGGGCCAGAAGGGTCTCTTTTCCTTGTAATAACTTGGTCTAATGGCACATGGTGAATTTCTTTTCTGTCTGTGAAAAGAAAGGGCCCTTCACCAGGTTTGAGAATTTCGAGCAGACGAGAGGAATGCATACACTGGGAGCTCACTATCTTATCTGCGAAGATTCGCTATGCTACGTGCCCCGAAAAGAGGTGGAATGTCCGACTGAGTGCCGTTTGACCTACATCTCATGGGTGCGCTTCTTAACATATATGGTGCAGGTGACATATTTTAGAAATGGTCCTGGGTACGTCAAAGTAGTATGCGACACTGCCAGAATTGTTCGAGGCGACGTGTGTAACTTGTGCAATTTGTTCCCTCAATAGAAGTATGAAGGTTGACAGAAATATTAAAGCATACAAACGACCTGCGCACGTTATTTGTTTTTAACTTCTCAGCAAATTGCGAGACTAAGCTGCCTCCAAATCATTTGTGTTGGTGTTCTCACCTTTCTGGGATAGTGCTGGTGCCAGCATTCACAATGCTAGCCGTGTTTCAGATGAATAGCAGCTCTTTGACTAGCCTGTGTAATGCTGTCCGTCCGTGCCAATGCGCCGCACCGCGTTCCCCCCGCCGCAGTTTTTGGAACGATGCCAAGTAAATCAAGTCGCAGCTGCACATTGACGTCACTTTCTCCCTCACCCGCAGTAGCTTCCGGCTCCTCTCAATACACCTAGGCGATGTTGCTCCTCCGCCTGCTCGCAACACACTTCTCTCTCGTTTCACCCTTTCCACTGCCAGCAATGCTAGACCACACATCGAATGGAAACACTATTTCCACTCGTTTATCTGCGATGCATCTTACACAAAAGTCAACTCGCATCTCGTGTCTTTGCGTTTCAAAGAAACATTTACTCTAGTAAAGGCTACACCAAGTTTCCCTTACCGTTCTTCCAGCACCCGCGTTGACGCCCATTTCAGTAGCACCAACGGCGTGCTGCTTCGCATCCCATCATTGTTCCTTTCGGGGAGATGATCCGTAAATTTTTTTGGTGCAGATATATAGCTTTGAACTCCTGAAACTGCCCTAAGGCAATTTCAGGACTTTGGGCTCCTAAAACTGCGCTTAGGGCAGTTTCAGGAGCCTAAAGCTATATATCTTGGGCAAGGATTATTATCCACGCTAGCCTTTCCAAATCTGCTTGCATAGAGGGATTCATCCCACAGAAACAGGCGATAAAATACAGAGAACATCGAAATCACGCAACACCACTTCTTTGCACGATCTGGCATGTCATGGGAATGTAACCTTATGTGTACATGATGTGTTGATGTGTCTACGTGATGGGATCCTTCGGCTCCGAGTTGCTCTGATGCGGGAAAGGGCAGAAAAGGAACTTGCTTTGCGAAGTCTACAATGGGCGAATGCAAAAGTTTCAAGCTCACCTTCTCACATCATGCTTTCGCGGCTTGTAGTGAACCAATTAAAAAATTCTAGTGGTATAAAGCTTCTGATTGGGCATGCAACAACTTCCAGCGTCTAAGTAAAATTTCTCGTGTGACCTAAAGAAGCACCTTTCAAGAAGTAAATGACAAACAAAAACAAATCCACATGGACATCTTGCTTTTCTACACTCTACTTTCCTCTAACGACACTCCACGGTTTCGCATTCATCATTCATCGTCCTGTGGCTGCACAGGAGCACCCCCTGTTCCTTACGCATGCCAAGCCAAGCGACCCTGGGAGATGCCGAGCAGACGACACGATGCGGATGAATACATGTGTAGAGGCTAATTGGCCTCCTAATTGGCTATGAGGCCTTGTAGTTTTGACAGTGCTGAAAAGAACTTACGAGATGGAGTATAGGTTGCACCCAAAAGAGTTCCGAAAGCTCAATTTTGCCTGGTAACATGAATACAGACCTCCATTTGTACTCAAAAGCAAAACTTGAGGTTAATTAGTGTTGATATAGAGACTGGCTTTGAAAATAAGCTTTTATAGGCACTTATGAGAAATTAGGCACAAACGTCAAAAATAGGCATTATAGGCACTACAAAAACACTATAAAAGCTCTTCTTAATCTCTGATTCATTCTAGCATATTAAAGTGGCACGATAGGAACACAAGAAACAAAATAGGCATTTGCCTGTAATCCAGTCTCTAGTTATGACATTGCCTTTCTTGTTCCTCAATTCATGCATTCCATTTTTGCCTATGCACAAGTCTGCCTTCGCAGCTTTTAGGCTTCTGCCGCTTTTTGCAGCCTGCTCAATTATCTCCATGTTATACCTTCTGATGTTGGCGACCTTATGCCTATTGGTTAACCTTGAAAGCTTTACTAGCTCTATTTTGTCGGTCGCATTTAAGGCTTTCGTTTGTCATCTCTTTTTTCATCTCCTGAGATAGATTGCAAGGGTCCTGTTTAGTGACTGTTCCTCCGACTACCATTGCACACTCTTCGATGATACTAGTGAGATTATTGTTCATTGTGTCAGCGCTTCGTTTAGTGCCTCGAATCTATTCTGAAGCAAAACTCCGAATTCCTGTACTTCCCCCCTCACTGCTAGTTGATTAATTAGCTTCTTGCATATCAGTTTTTGTCTTTGCTTTGTTAAATCTAAGGGAATACGGGCTCTTACTATTCTATGGCCACTGCATCTGATCTTGCCAACTACTTCTACATCCTGTACAATGCCTGGGTAGGCAC